ACAGATACTTAGGTTTTTGGTTAAAACTTTTATCTGTTGTAGAATACCAGTTAATGTTTTTATAATTCTGATTGACTGTGCCTGGTGCTTTTGAATTATTATCATCATCTTCACTGGCACAGACTTTGTTGAGGTGGAGGGGCTTGCATACTTCAGTGAGAGCTATGCTGAAGGCTCTCCCAAGCCAGACAGGTCTCAGCTGAGAAGCCAGACCAATTGTGTCCACCAAACATCAGTGATGATGAGCGGGAATAAACAGAAATCCATACCGGATTAGTCGTCTTCCGGGTCAATAAGGACCATGTCAGATGCTATAGCCCCTTGGCATCTGATGACAAATGAGCTACATGGTTCAACAGACCCTGTTGAAGAACCAAGACAGGCTGATGCAAAGCTACTGGAACAACATAAATGCAAAACTTGGATTCTCACTGAAAATTGAGAAATTATGAAATGGTATTATGAGGCAAACCCAACAGCCCATGGTTTTAAAATTTTTAAAAGGAAACACCCAAGTAGTGACATAACTGAACAACGAATGGACCAGAGAAGGTTTGTCATCTAGAGTAAAGTGTTCTCAGAACTGGAATTGCAAGAACTAGAAAAGGTGGCAAAATCAACACAGAACAATGATCGTAACATGGAAGGCAAATGGAGGGTAAAGGTAGACACAATAGTGGAATAAAATGTATCAATAGAGGAACAACATATGGAACAACCCAGAAATTATGAGTTGACAGAACAGCAAACATCACTAAGGGGTAAATAGTAACCCATATTAGCCAGAACACAGAAAGGCAAAGGCTGTGTAATTTACACCAGTTACAAAGTATACCAGTAAAAGATCTACTGAATGATGCAAATGTTGGAACAACATAAATGCAAAACTTGGATTCTCACTGAAAATTGAGAAATTATGAAATGGTATTACGAGGCAAACCCAACAGCCCATGGTTTTCTAAAAAGGATGATGGAAATTTGGAAAAGGAAACACCCAGGTAGTGACATAATTGAACAACGATTAATGAACCAGAGACGTTTTATCATCTGGAGTAAAGTGTTTTCAGAACTGGAATTGCAAGAACTAGAAAAGGTGGCAAAATCAACACGGAACAATGATCGTAACATGGAAGGCAAATGGAGGGTAAAGGTAGACACAATAGTGGAATAAAATGTATCAATAGAGGAACAACATATGGAACAACCCAGAAATTATGAGTTGACAGAACAGCAAACATCACTAAGGGGTAAATAGTAACCCATATTAGCCAGAACACAGAAAGGCAAAGGCTGTGTAATTTACACCAGTTACAAAGTATACCAGTAAAAGATCTACTGAATGATGCAAATGTTCTCATCAGAACAATCCAAACCAACATAATAAAGAAAATTAACTAGCTAATGTAGAGCACAGCTACCATAATAACCACAGGACTTCGCTACAAACTGCAATACCCCTAGAAAACCCGTGGCATCCCAAAATAGGAAATTTGTCTGTAAAGAAAAATAAATTATCATCTGGAGTAAAGTGTTTTCAGAACTGGAATTGCAAGAACTAGAAAAGGTGGCAAAATCAACACGGAACAATGATCGTAACATGGAAGGCAAATGGAGGGTAAAGGTAGACACAATAGTGGAATAAAATGTATCAATAGAGGAACAACTTATGGAACAACCCAGAAATTATGAGTTGACAGAACAGCAAACATCACTAAGGGGTAAATAGTGACCCATATTAGCCAGAACACAGAAAGGCAAAGGCTGTGTAATTTACACCAGTTACAAAGTATACCAGTAAAAGATCTACTGAATGATGCAAATGTTCTCATCAGAACAATCCAAACCAACATAATAAAGAAAATTAACTAGCTAATGTAGAGCACAGCTGCCATAATAACCACGGGACTTCGTTACAAACTGCAATACCCCTAGAAAACCCGTGGCATCCCAAAATAGGAAATTTGTCTGTAAAGAAAAATAAACAAAAATAAACAAATTACGTGTAGACTTTAGCAACTTAAAATACTTGAAAGATTCAAAACATAAAAACAAAAAAGTAAAATCCAGACTATGCAAAAGATATGATCTAGAAAGGAAAACAATTGTTGAAACTATGGAAGAATTAAAACAGCATCTAACAGGTACAGGAAAGAAAACTGAAAGATATGATGGATGCTTGAAACAATATAGAAAAAACATGCAATTCTGAAATTGTTGTTGTTGTTGTT